GGATCGTGGACGGAAGGCACGTCTACGTGGGCAGCGCCAACATGGACTGGCGGTCCCTGACGCAGGTGAGTCCCGGCGTGGCCCTCCCCGCCCCCGGGGGCTCTGCCTGGTGTCCCCGCGGCTCGTCACTGGAGGGAAGTGGGTGAGCGGCCACGCTCATAGCTTCACCCCAGTGGGGCCCCCGAGGCTGACCCCGAAGTCACAGACGCCCACGCGGCCCCAGCTCTCGCTGCGCAATCTCTTTCTTGAGTGGGGTTTGTTGTTGTTGTTAATCCTCACCCGAGGATATGTTTTCATTGCTTTTCAGAGAGAGAGTGGAAGGGAGGGAGGGGTGGTGGAGAGAGAGAGAGAGAGAGAGAGACATTGATGTGAGAGAAACACATCCGTCAGCTGCCTCCCGCACACGCCCCAACCGGGGGCAGGAAGCGAACCCATGGCCCTTTGGTGCGCAGGTGACGCTCCAACCACTGAGCCCTGCCGGCCAGGGCTGCGGAATCTCACTTAACTGGTGCCTCCATCCAGGCAAACACAGACGGCCGAGCCTGATCCCTTGTAGGAAAAGTGACGCATTAACACCGTCAAACGCGGCGGGACGGTCACCGTGCTTGGCCTTGACCCTGAGGGGGAGCGCGCTCTCCTCCTTCCCGCATTACGCATTTCCCGGGCGTTTCGGAAGGAAACCTGTATGGCCTCCATCCTTGGAAGCAACGTTCAAGGCACAGAGGGACCCGCCGGGCACCCCACTGCACGCTCCCAGCACCCTGTCCGTTAGGGATTCCTCCAGGCGTGTGGGGGGGGGGCGGCTGGTGGGGGCCGCACTCCTGCCCTCGGGCCTCCTCCCACAGCCGCTCGCCCCGCAGGTGAAGGAGCTGGGGGCGGTGGTGCACAATTGCAGCCGCCTGGCCCGGGACCTGGAGAAGACCTTCCAGACCTACTGGGTGCTGGGCGCGCCCCGGGCTGTGCTCCCCAAGCACTGGCCTCACAACTTCTCGTCCCACATCAACCACTTCCAGCCCCTGCGGGCCCGCTTCGATGGGGTGCCCACCGCGGCCTACTTCTCGGTAAGACCGCCGCCCGGACCCACAGGGACGGCCCCGCCCTGGCCGGGGTCCTGGGGGGGAAGTGGGGACGCCGGTGGGCTGTGTTCGGTGGAGGGCAGGCCCAGGCAGTGCCAGGGGAGGCAGCTATCAGCACCCACAGGAGACAGGCGGCCTGAGAGGTGTCTGGGGGGGGACTCCAAACGGGAGGAGGGAGGGGCTCCAGCTTGCCCGGGAGGTTGGGAGGCCGGCCATGCCCCCAGCAGATGCCCTCAGCCCTGGGGCTGGTCCAGAGCAGAGACCTGGCGTCAGGGCGGGGACGTGACCCTGGACAAGGGGTCGCCCTGGGCGGGTGGGAAGCCTGGCCTGGACAGGGCCCCTCAGCCCCTCCCGTCTCTCTAGGCAGCGCCCCGTCTTCCTCCTGGACCCCAAATCCTGGAGGGTGGCCGCAGGGAGGGCTCCCAGGTCCAGGAGCCGAGTGGTTCTGAGCAGCGGGCAGCGCCCTCAGGGACCTCTCCCCCCTGCCCCCCAACAGGCCTCCCTGCCTG